AGATCATTTAGTGGCGTGAAAACTTTTGCAAAGGTTTGTTCTGATGACGCAACCAAGCAGGAGCTCAAAATGTGTTCAAGAATGATTTTAAAGATAAAGTCACGCCAATGGGTGCTGAGGATCGCCGAGTTTTCAATTCAATCTTTGAAATTTAACAGGGCAACAGAGTTCAAAGGGACCTCGGAGGTCTTCTAGTCCAACCCCCATTCCGTCAATTCTTGAAAAGCTCCAGTGTTTTTTGAGATTTGATTCAACAGTTGATTCAGTCAACGTGCGCACATTGAAATGGATTTCTGAAAAGCAGCTGTGCAAACTAGATAGCAAAAGAGGTTTCTGATTGTTCAAGCTGTCGGCCAGTGGAACAGACTGCCACATGACATGAAAGAGGATTAGTAGCTGGAGGACTTCACGACAAGACTGGAAAGTCCTCCATTGGAAGGGCTCTAGCCCAAATTTACTCCAACATGCTCAGTTTTCTGCTACAGTGGGTACCAGTAGTTCACTTAACATGGTTGTTAAGTGAATCTAGCTTCCCCGGTGACTTTGCTTGTCAGAAAGTCACAAAAGGTGATTACACAACCCCAGGTCATTAACTGAATCAGTCGTCAACTGTCTGAATTTTGATCATATGATCATGGGAACCCTGCAATGGTTTGTAAGTGTGAAAAATGGTCCTATCAGTTTTTCAGTGATAAAACTTTGCCGCGGTAAACTTGAATGGTCACTAAATGAACTGTTGTAAGTTGAGGACTATCTGTTCCGCTCTATAATGCCTTGGTAAGACCACACCTGGAATACTGCATCCAGTTTTGGCCATCACGATATAAGAGATGTTGAGACTCTAGAAAGAGTGCAGAGAAGAGCAACAAAGATGATTAAGGGACTGGAGCAGGAGTGGGTTCTAAGATTTTTTACTACCGGTTCTGTGGCTTATTTTGTGGGCGTGGCTTGATGGTCATGTGACAATTATTTAGGATTTAGCAGAGGTACTGGTCTACCAGGCTTTTAACTGCTTGCAGAGCTGTACCGGTCTACCCATTTATTTTTTGCAGGCACCGATCTACTCATGTATTTTCGCACTGATCTACTCATGTATTTTTGCACCGATCTACCCATTTATTTTTGCAGGCACTGGTCTACTCATTTGTTTTCTTTTAACACTGATCAGCTGTAGGGCGGCCCTTTGAAGCCCTGTGGCAAGAGTTTAAACACTTTTTTTCCCTCTAGCCATCAGCTGGGACTCAGGAGGCAGCAATAGATTGGGGGTGGGGCCAAATAAAAGGTAAGAATAATGCGGGAAGCAGAACCGGTTTGGTGACGTCATATCGTCACCGCTACTGACTCCACGGAGCCGGGCGGAACCAGGAGGAACCCACCACTGGACTAGAGGCTAAAACATATAAAGAACGGTTGCAGGAATTGAGCATGACTAGTTTAATGAAGAGAAGGACTAGGGGAGACATGATAGCAGTGTTCCAATATCTCAGGGGCTGCCACAAAGAAGAGGGAGCGAAGCTATTCTCCAAAGCACCTGAGGGTAGAAGGACAAGAAGCAATGGATGGAAACTCATCAAGGAGAGAAGCAACCTAGAACTAAGGAGAAATTTCCTGACAGTGAGAACAATTAATCAGTGGAACAGCTTGCCACCAGAAGTTGTGAATGCTCCAACACTGGAAGTTTTCAAGAAGAGGTTCGATAACCATTTGTCTGGAATGATATAAGGCAGTGATGGTGAACCTTTTCGGCACTGAGTGCCCAAACAGGAATCACACACACATGCCTTGATAGTACAGTGGTTTAGTGCACCCTGTTATTAACACAGTTGCCTGCAATTTCTGCTGGTTCAATTCTCGCCAGGCTCAAGGTTGATTCAGCCTTCCATCCTTTCTAAGGTAGGTGAAATGAGGACCCGGTTTGTGGGGGCAATAAGCTGACTTTGTATAAAATATACAAAAGTATGAAGGCTATTGCTTAACGCATTGTAAGACGCCCTGAGTCTCCGGAGAAGGGCGGCATATAAAACAAATTAAAAAAAAAAATGCGCGCACCAGAAACCCAAAAACCAGCTGGTTGGTGTGCATGCATGTGCCGGCCAGCTGGTATTTGGGTTTCCGGCGCTCTGGCGCGTGCCATGACCACCTGGCCGGCACTCATGTGCGCATCAGTAATCAGAAGAGCAGCTGGCAACTGTGCATGTGCGCCCACAGAGAGGGCTCTGCATGCCACCTCTGCCATGCGTGCCATAGGTTCACCATCACAGATATAGGGTCTCATACTTGAACGGGGTTGGACTAGAAGACCTCCAAGATCCCTTCCAACTCTTGTTGTTCTGTAAACATTGTGGGCATTTGAGACAATGGTTTTGCCAGACCAATAATCCAAATAGCATTTTTCCCAACAGGATTTTCCTAAACAGGCAAAAGTTATCTGTTGTGATTTATGAATCAACTCTAGGAATAGCCTGAAAAAGCTGTCACCCTAAAACTGGGCTGGATGGGTTTTACTTTACTGAGCCTTGGTAGTACAGTGGTTTAGTGCACCCTGTTATTAACACAGCTGCCTGCAATTACTGCTGGTTCGAATCTCGCCAGGCTCAAGGTTGACTCAGCCTTCCATCCTTTCTAAGGTAGGTGAAATGAGGACCCAGTTTGTGGGGGCAATAAGCTGACTTTGTATAAATTTTCAAAAGGATGAAGGCTATTGCTTAACGCATTGTAAGCCGCCCTGAGTCTCTGGAGAAGGGCGGCATATAAATCAAATTAAAAAAAAAAACTTTCAGAAAATCTCAGCCTTCAGATTGTTAGGGGAGCCCAGGGTGGGATTTGTGTCAAAACAGTCAAAATGGCAGCCATGACTACAGAGAGATGGAGGCCCTCCCCTTCTCCCCCCCCCCCCGTTTCAATTGTGCAGATGTATCAGCCATCTTGACTTTTTTGACCTCACTCCCCTCTGCAGCAGGGGTGAAATCCAACAGGTTCTGGAGAACCGGTAGCAGAAATTTTGAGCAGTTCGGAGAACCGGCAGCGGAAATTTTGAGTAATTCGGAGAACGGGCAAATACCATCTCTGGCTGGCCCCCAAGTGGGGTGGGAATGGAGATTTTGCAATATCCTTCCCCCAGGAGTGGGGATGGAATAGGGATTTTGTAGTATCCTTCCCCTGCCGCGCCCACCAAGCCGCGCCCATCAAGCCACACCACGCCCACCAAGCCATGCCCTCAGAATCGGTAGTAAAAACATTTGGATTTCACTACTGCTCTAATCGGGTCTAGGATTTTGTTTTGGGTGTTCTGGTTTCATGGGGAGGGAAAAAAGAAGAGAAAATGTCCATTTTTTTTTTCATATTAAGCCTTCTTTTTTTTATTTACACCGTGACACATAATATTCCCTAGGTTCATTTTAAGTCTACAATAATGTTGGGGGGGGGGGAGGAAGATCCAGGAAGCACCACTTACATTATACATAACAGTCTTGCAATCTTTTTTAACTGCACTCATGGCAGCTGGAAAAAAAAAAAGGATTTTATTCTTACTGAGGTAAGAAGTTCAAGGCGAAATCTGACCGGAAAAAAATTGCAGAGGCAGCCCTACTGCTGTTCTGAAACTTAAGGCACAGAAAGGAGCATATAATTTAGTTTCTTCCTATCTTGTCCCTTCTCAAAATCAAGGGGGGGTCCACCAAATTACTTTCCTTTCCTTGAAAAGTGCCCTTCGCCCCTACTGAACCCTGGAAGTGGAAGAGGAACAGAGATGGTATTCAGCCGGTTCGTTCAAGTTCGAGTGAATCGGTAACAGAGATCGCGGGTGGGCCTGCCACCTGCCATGGCTCTATGTCATCCTATTCTCAAGGCATGTGTGGAAAGTGCGCAAGCGAAGTACATGCGCGGAAGGCCGGGTGCATGTGTGGCAGGCATGAATGTGCACGGCGAACCAATGGTAAAACTATTGGAAACTCACTGCTGACGAGGAATTTATCTCATTGCACTGTCTTCCCAGTTATCAGTTTTTCCTCTTTTGAGCATTTTATTCCTACAGCCAGCCAGTGAGAGGATTATAACTTTGCTTCTGTAATAAAAACGGAATCGCTTTTATGCCAAATTAGGTCTCCAATCGCGCGCCCCAAAATTCCCAGCATTTATTCGGACTATCAATTGATTTATCTGTGAAATATGTCAACATGTTGCATGGTGACTTTTAAGATGGGCGGACTTCGGCTCCCAGAATTCCCTAGCCAGCATGAGCAGACTTCGGTATTTGAACTGGTGAATTCTGGGAGTTGAAGTCCACACATCTTAAAAGTTCCCATGGTTGAGAAACACTGCCTAAATAGTGCAAACTAACGTACGGAGAGCAACTCCGGTGTGATCTATTCAAATAGAAACCACTGTTTCTCCACAGAGATAAAATAATAAATAGACTGCAGACCTTTTATTTCTAGAACACAGAACTATAGGTCCAGAACTGTCTGGCAAACTACATTTTGAGTCTAAAAATGGCAAGCTTCAGTTACAGAAATTAAAAGACGAGATGGCCCTACAGGTTTAGCTCTCTAGTAGCTGAGAGTTCCAAGGACTGAATTAAAAATAGATGACAATTCAATTATTTTTAAAAAAAAAAAATTAAGAAAAAGAAAAGAAAAGAATCGGCAGTGATGCTTTTCATTCCAAACTATTTTGGGCTACCCAAAAGAAATGTCCTTGGGAACCAGTGCTTAATGGCTCTTTTTTGTTGTTGTTTTGTTTAATTTCGGCTTCCTAGCTTTAAAATGGATCCAGGGATTGTTGTCATCGCTCGGTTTTTTTAAAACAAGAAAGGGGGCTGCCATCGGTATTGTTCAACCAATATAATCACAGGATGTGGCAGGGATTCAGCAACGGAATTTGATGGGATGTCGACAGATTTACGGCTCTTCCCCCCCCCCCCCCTTGGTTCGGGTTGACCTCCTCATTTCCAAACGTTGGAAGCTCGAAGGATAAGTCAAGCCACCTTCTTAGAAGCCGCAAGGAGGAGTACGAGGAGTCCATGATGAAGGTCCTTGGTGGGTTTGCATCTGATCGGGCCGGGGATGAGAAACGCCCAGGTTCCCTCTGGGGGTGAAGTCTGGTTTTGCTGGAAGAAGTCGGTCACAAGATGGGGTCAGTGCCATTCCAGCTGACCCTGGCTCCCTTCCACCTAAAAGACCCAAAGAGGCAGAGATTCATTTTGGTGGTTTCCCAAGAGTTGTTCAGGTGAAACAATTCCTGTAAAACTAGACTCAAGAAACGCTTAAAACTGGCAGGGCAGTGGTGGGTGGCTCCCGGTTCGCACCGGTTCGCAAGAACCGGGAGTAAAAATTTGTAGTAGTTCCGAGAACCGGTAATAACATTGGCTGGCCACGTCCCCAAACCGGTCCCCGGCCTGGTCGCCGCTTGCTTACCCCCACCATCTCATCAGAGACTTTTTTAAAAAACTTTTAAAAGTATTTTTTCTACAACCTCTTCGGCTGAAAAAATGCTTTTAAAAGTTAAAAAAAAAAAACAACCTCTGATGATCCCGCGGCTCAGTTGGGATCGTCAGAGGCTTTTCAAAGCATTGTTTTCTGCAACCTCTTAAGGTTGTAGGAAAAATGCTTTTAAAAATAATAATAATAAAAAAATATTGGCCATGCCCACCCAGTCACATTACCCCCACCAAGTCATACCCACAAAATAAGCCATGCCCTCAGAACCAGTAGTAAAAAAAATTTAGACCCCCCCCCCCTCCGGGCCAGGGGTTTGTAAGAGGCTGCTGCTTTTAGTCAAGAAGTAGAAGGGAGAACTTTCTACTCAAGGTATTCCTTGATTTACGACCACAGTTGAGCCCAACATCTCTGTTGCTAAGCGAGACAGTTGTTAAGTGCCCTGTTTTTACAACCTTTCCTGCCACCGTGGTTAAGTGAATCGTGGCAATTGTTAAGTTAGAAGCACGGTTATTAAGTGAATCTGGCTTCCCCGTTGACTTCGCTCATCAGGTAGTCGCAAAAGGGGAACACGTGACCCCGGGACGCTGCAGCCGTCATAAATACGAGTCGGTTGCCAAGCGTCTAAATTTTGATCACGTGACCACGGGGATGCTGCAACGGAAAAGCGGCCATTAAGCCACTTCTTTTGGCGCTGTTGAACAGTCACTGAATGGACTGTTGTAGGCCGAGAATTACCTGCATGTGATATCGTTAAAAAATCAAAGAGGACAATCACCCAGTTGTGGGGCAGGCTGTTGTGGCCCACCATCTGTTTCTTGTGGACAGTAGTTTGCAGTCCAACAAGTGCAACCAAAGAGATGCACCCTCTAAATGAGCCCTCATATTACAGGTAGCCCTCGACTTACGACGATCACTTAGCGACTGTTCCAATGCACCCACCTGCAGGCTAGAGACACGGATGGGAAGTTACGACAATCAGGATCTCCCCTCTGGTCACATGGGCCGAACGCTGCGCGCTCAGGACTCAGACCGCCCTTAGAGACCTCTGCCTTGCGCATAATCACTCACGCCCTTGTCACCTCCCGACTGGACTACTGCAATGCTCTCTACATGGGGCTCCCCTTGAAAAGCACCCGGAGGCTCCAGCTGGTCCAGAATGCGGCCACGCAGGCGGTTATGGGCGCAACTTGTTGTGCCCACGTGATACCCCTCCTGCACGAGCTGCACTGGCTCCCAGTGGTCTTCCGGGTGCGATTCAAGGTGTTGGTTACCACCTTTAAAGCGTTCCATGGCATTGGACCTGCCCCCAGAAATGCGTAAGATCTCTGATCTCCGTGTGTTTCGCTGTGCCCTCAAAACCATGTTGTTCCGCCAGGCTGGGCTATCAATGTAAAGATTTTTAATTGGTTTTAAATGGGATTTTAAATTTGGGGTTTTACAAATTGGGCCTATTATTTAATAATTTTAATTATTTTTAAATTTTGTCTGTCTTTGTGTTTTTAATTAGGCTGTACACCGCCCTGAGTCCTTCGGGAGAAGGGCGGTATAGAAATAAAATTAATAAATAAGAAATAAATAAAGCATCCCGCAGTCACGTTTTGTGACGGTATTAACCAAAAACCGGCATTTTATTCCCAGTTTTCAGCAAGACGAGTAAACAAGTGGTTCGCTTTAACAACCGTGGCATTCCTCTCTTCCACGGACTGGAAGTGAAAGCCCCACCCTTGGCCTCTGCAGAACCCATGATGGCGTCCGCGCATCTCAGCAAGTCTGTTTTACGATTTAGTTAAGGCAACCAAGCCTCTGGAGGGAACAACTAACTGCCATTTAACAGCCCAGCTTCTGTGTCTTGACCGGGACAATAGGACTTAGTCGGCATCTCCTAATTGGCGCCTTTCGCCTGCAGGATGAAGGCTCCTAACAGTCCCAGCTAACTGTTCTCTTAACAAGCCCACCATTCATGCTTATTTATGGCCCCAGCTTCAAGCAGAGCCAAATTGACTAACGCTATTGAAATCTTTCTTGGGAAGCAAAGAAAAGAGACAGAAAGTGGGGCAGGAGAAGCCAGCTTTTTGGAACAATGTTGTTCGCCACCTTAACTGAACCATAGAGATCCTCTGAAGATTCAGCGGCATCGAATTCATCTGCAGTGGGGTTTTTTTCCCCCCTCCCCGCTTGGTCACTTCTAATTTTAAAAAGTCATAGAAAGCTGCAAAAAGTTCAGATCTCTGCCTGAATCCTCACAACTGTCGTAGGAGACGTTGTACACGATTATCCGCGTTTGTATCGGACGGTGATTTATTTCTCCTGGAAAAAGAGGATTTTATTCTTCGGGCGAATAGAAGGAATGCAGAAATAATTCATTTCCCTGGCACGGATGGGTGGGGTTTTTGTTTTGTTTTTTTAACTAAAGCCAAACATATCAGCCTTATAATGCATGCCGTTCTTAGTTTTTATGAATAATAATAATAATAATAATAATAATAATAATAATAATAATAATAATAATAACAACAACAACAACAACAACAACAACAACAACAACAACAACAACTTTATTGGAATTTTAAAGAGAAAGGTAAAAACTAATAAGAACAAATGCTGAGAATGAAAAGGAAAAGGAAAGAAGGAAAGAACAAAGGTTCAGAAATCAAAGAGAAAGGGAATATATTAAAAAAACCGACGTCTTGATTTTCTTTTGGAGAAACCCATGGAACAGAAGTTGCCTTCAGAATTGGTGGGAGCTTCATCACTGGAAGCTTTCAAGAAGAGACTGGACTGCCATCGGCCAGAAATGGTGTAGGTGGGGTCTCCTGCTTGGGCGGGGGGTTGGACTAGATGACCTACAAGGTCCCTTCCAACTCTGTTAAATCTGATCTGATCTTTTACAGCAGCCATAAGTATAAATGTGAATTTATACAAATGTAACTCTGTGGTTACAAGATTGTTTATCTCTTTTTTACAATCTCTTTTTTTCCCCCTAATCATGAAAAACATATATAATTTCATTCCCCCCCCCCTCTTTTGTGCAAAAAAATCAATAAGTCAGCATGCATGGACTTCAACTCCCAAAATTCCCCGGCCAGAATATGTGAACATCAATCCCAAAACTGATCCCTTTAACTTCCAAAATTCCCTGGGCAGTATGTGGACTTCAACACCCAGAATTCCCCAGCGCTCTCGAAATTCCCTAACTAGCATGTTCGGACTTCAATTCCCAGAATTCCCCAAAAGTTACCTGAAGGGAGAGAGAGAGAAAAATACACAAAGTGTAATTTATCTCATTTTATCGAACGCTGCTAGGAAGTATCAGCCATCAAATATATTTTTATTTCTTCCTTTAGGTCTGTCGACTTTGGTGGGAATTTTTATGGAAGATAACATTTATTGTCTCTGGAAACAAATCTTTGCATTGCACAGATTTGAATTCAAGCAGAGTGGGTAAAAAAACGGATTATTATTTTTTATTTAAATCGGATTTTTTTTTATTTAAATCAGATTTTTTAAAATTTAAATCGGATTTTTTTTATTTTTATCAAAAATAAAATGCTTTTGGAGTAAAAATCTATCTAAAGATGGTTTTCTATTTTAGATACATTAATAATTTAGTTTATTCAGCATGAAATGGAGTTTAGTTATGTAGCAAGAGGCTGTATATTCCGCAATATTTACATTTTTGGTGAACTAATTCAATGAATACAAGCTCTGCAAGCTGAGATAACATGCACTGCATTGATGCATTGACACAATTTCACAGTAACCATGAGATAAATCATAAAACGAAGTTCAGGAATATTCTTTTATCCCATTGTTTTGCAAATATATGTACACTACAAACTGTATGATTGTTTGAAGTGAAATGCATCTGTACCACCAGTTGAGGTGAAGAGGAAGGGCAAGCATTAAAAATGAAAGTGAAACCTTCTAAGCAGCGCATAAATATAATATTAAAGAGCACCTGTCATTTCAGATCCATCATGGCAGCGTCTGTTAGCGGGCATCCACTCACCTGCTGCCCGACACAATGAATGGGACTGCCGGTGAGTCAACAGCGGGTGAGAGGAGGAACCGCTGCGGGACAGAGATGATAGTTGCTCATTAGAAATTATGATTTAAGTCGAGACAATTTAAATCAAGCCTTTTTACTGGTGATTTAAATCGTGATTTAAATCAACTTGGTTTAAATCAAGCCTTTTTACTGGTGATTTAAATCGACTTGGTTTAAATCAAATCAGTTTTGATCGTCACGATGTAAAAAAGATGTGGAAACTCTAGAAAGAGTGCAGAGAAGAGCAACAAAGATAATTAGGGGACTGGAGGCTAAAACATACGAAGAACGGTTGCAGGAACTGGGTATGTCCAGTTTAATGAAAAGAAGGACCAGGTGTGACATGATAGCAGTCTTCCAATATCTCAGGGGCTGCCACAAAGAAGAGGGAGTCAAGCTATTCTCCAAAGCACCTGAAGGCAGGACAAGAAGCAATGGGTGGAAACTAATCAAGGAGAGAAGCAACCTAGAACTAAAGGAGAAACTTCCTCACAGTGAGAACAATTAATCAGTGGAACAACTTGTCTGCAGAAGTTGTGAATGCTCCAACACTAGAAGTTTTTAAGAAGATGTTGTATAACCATTTGTCTGAAGTGGTGTAGGGTTTCCTGTCTGGGCATGGGGTTGGACTAGAAGACCTCCAGGGTCCCTTCCGTTATTCTATTCTATTCTAAATCCACCCTGAAATTCAAGCAAGATAAATGCTAACAAAGGCAGGTCTTCATTTGGGGGGGCTGGCACTTTTTGAATCCAAGATTGAGAAAAATAAACAAAAAACGTAAGTATCTCTTTCTGGATAGAGTAGAGTTAACACGAGTTATTTCCTCCACTGGAGACAGAAAACAAGGAAGGATTAAGAGAACAAGACCGAGCCTTCCTTCGGGCAAAGAAATGTATTTGCCCGATCAAAAAAAGATCAAGGAAACCCACATTCCATTCTCTCTTCGATCTTAATTCAACTTCTTAAGCATATTTTGGAGACTTGAATTAACAGGGGCAGCCAAGGACCTTAAGCCAAGCAGCCTTAAAGGAATTGGGAGGTGTTAATGACCTTGGAATGGTGAGACAGGAGCCCAGGGGAAATATTTCTGAAAGGTTATGAAGATCAAAAATTAAAAGTTTCCCCAGGCCGGGTGCACAGACATTCCAACATTTGTTATGAAACAAAAAAAAAAAACCCTTTTTTTTGCTTTTTTTTTTTTTAAATCCATTCTGCAATCTACAAGCTCCGGAGACGGTTATGAAATTTATTATTTCCCCCCCCCCCACTTAAATCAGCCACAACCGCTAAACACCCCAGCAATTTTTCCTCCCTCTTCCCCTTGTAGGCTTTTAAATAAATAAATAAATAAATCATCAGGAAATAATTGGCAATAGAGGTGATTGGAGCCATGCAGCTTCTCGGGTTGCCATAGAAGCCAATTTTATTTTATTTTTTTTATTTTAGCTAAAGGGTTTGCTGTATATATCTTTAATGTATATGGGGATTTAGAATGAAGGGAAAAGATCTATTTATCTGCACCCACATTTGCAAGGGGGGGGGGGCGAGGCCTCAAAAAGCAAAAAGGGACTTGTGATTGTGTGTGCTGGAACAAAGGGACAAGGCTTTAACTGAATAGATGCAACAGTAGAGTAATTGTATAGTAATAGGCTGCAGAGCAGAGCAAAACAGAACGGAACAGAACAGAACAGAACAAATATTCTGCATAAGGGCATGGAAACCACATTGCATTTATTAATTGCCCAAAGATACATGACTTTTGGGGGAAAAAAAAAAGGAAAACAAAAATACAGATAGTCCTCGACTTGCTATCATCGAGCCCAAAATTTCTGTTGCTAAGGGGGGGGACATTTGTAAAATGAATTTTGCCCCATTTTACGACGTAACTAAATGAACTGTTATAAGTCAAGGACTACCTGTAGTAGGCTACAGAGTAGAACAGAAATTCTGCATAAGGGCATGGAATACGCAAACACACACAAACACATAATGAAATTACTCACGCAAAGAACAAAGAAGAGGGGCAGAGAAGAGCAGCAAAGATGATTAGGGGACTGGAGGCTAAAACATACGATGAACGATTGAGGGAACTTAAGATAATTTTTAAATGTTTTTTATAATGATTTTTTTAAATGTGAGCCGCCCTGAGTATTACTCAATGAATACTCAACTGAATACTCAAATGTGAGTATTGTGAGCCGCCCTGAGCTTCGGAGAGGGGTGGCATATAAATTGAATTAATTAAATTAAATTAAATTAAATATGTCTACTCTAACTAAGAGAAGGACTAGGAATGACACACGATAGTGGTCTTCCAATATTTGAAGTCTTGTCACAAAGAAGAAGGAGTCAACTTATTCCCCAAAGCACCTGAAGGCAGGACAAGAAGCAATGGATAGAAACTAATCAAGGAGAGAAGCAACCTAGAAATAAGAATTTCCTGACAATGAGGACGATTAACCGGTGAGACAGAAGTTGCCTCCAGAAGTTGTGGGAACTCCATCACTGGAGGTTTTTAAGAAGTGACTGGACAGTCATTTGTCTGAATTGGTATCGGGCCTCCTGCTTTAGCAGGGGTTGGAGTGGACTAGATGACCTCCAGTGTCCCTTCCAACTCTGTTGTTCTGTTAAGCTAAACCGGAGGGGGGTGGGGCTGGCACTTACTTCGTCCGAATGCAATGCTCCAGAGGGGAAACGAGGTCGTTCTCTGGGTTTTCCACATAAAGCTGTGAGGTGTCTGTGGAGAACAAAGAAGGTCATTGCCATCAATCATTTTGGCTCATCTGCCGGAAACGAGATGGAGAGACAGATGGCGGAATTCACCAACCCTCATTTAGAGGAAACAGAGACAACGACTGGCCTATCAGCGGTTATGAATATGGATAGATATACAGCGGTGGCGAAATCCAAATTTTTTTTACTACCGATTCAGTGGGCGTGGCTTGGTGGGCGTAGTGTGGCTTGGTGGGTGTGGCTTGGTGGGCGTGGCAGGGGAAGGCTACTGCATAATCCCCATTCCCTCCCCGCTCCTGGGAGAAGGATATTGCAAAATCTCCATTCCCGCCCCACTCTGGGGCCAGTCAGAGGTGATATTTGCTGGTTCTCCGAACTGCTCAAAATTTCCGCTACGGGTTCTCCAGAACCTTTCAGAACCTGCTGGATTTCACCCCTGGTCATAAGTCACCTTTTTCATACGACACTTTTTCAGCGTCGTCATAACTTTCAACGGTCACCGAACGAACTGTTGCTAAGTCGAGGACTACCTGTAGTCTGTCGTAACTTTGAACAGTCACTAAGCGGTTATTAAATGAGGGCTTCCTGTACTTTTCGTTACTTCAGCTTCTCTGTCTCCCCTCCCAATCCTCAGGGTTACGCATAACTTGGCTGAGTTCGGCCAAGAAAGCATCTTTTGAAGATCAGGAGAAGCCGGGAGAAGATGGATGCAACTTCTGGCCCGAAGGTTGCCCCAAACCCAAGAAGAACGAGTGCGAATTGCAGCAGCAAAATAGCAAATTCCACCCCATTTCTTTCAAAACAAGTTATGCACCCGTCTACCAGGAGGTTTGGGGAGGGGGCGGGAAACAGACGACATGGTTAAATCTGTGGGCGTCCTGTGAAAACAAAAATTTCAACCTGCCAAGGATGACAACAGGCTAACGGGGACGCAAGGAAGACGGAAATGTCAGACTCCACAGCTCTGCAATTATACCGCGGAGGTGAGAAATAAACAGGAGAAAAAACAGGGGCACCTGACCGCAGAGTCACAGAGGAAAAACGGGCAAGAGAGACGGATGGCGTCCCGCACTATAAATGCGATTTGATTTGGATAAAAGTTTTTCAAATACTACTTGCCTGTTTGGAATTGCGAGCTAATGGACAGCGGAGGCTTAAAAAAATAACAAAAATGAAACTGCCTGAAATTTACTGAAATGGACATTTATTTAAAAAAAAAAAATAATAATAGCTTGCCGTTTTCCTTTTATTTCCGTTAAGTCCTCGAGTTAACAACCGTGGCTTACAAATTGGGCTTAGCAGAACTTCCACTGCTAATCAAAGTAATGGTGGGGAGTGAGTCCAGCTCGATTTCATTCGTTTTATTTATTTATTAAATGTTCATGACGCCGCCCCCCTCTCCGCTGTAAGGAGACTCCGGGGCTCCATTTTATGACCTCTTTTTTTTTTTTTTTTTTTTTTTTTGCCACGGTGGTTAAGCAAGCCACTGCAGTTGTTCAGTGAATTAATTGCCTGGTCTTTAAATGAATCCAGCTTCTCCCTTCCTCACCCCACCCCATTGACTTTCCTGAGTTCCCGCGGTCACGTGATTGCCATCTGGGTTCTTGGCAACAAATTCACTTTTACGACGGGATTGCAGAATTGTGTGGTCCAGGGTGGGTTCTACTTACCTTTACTACCGGTTCGCATCGCACCCGCGAGCGCAGATAACCTATGATGATGTCCGGCTTAGTGGGCGGAGTCTCCCTCTGGTTTTACTACCGGTTCTTGTGAACCGGTCCGAACCTAGGGCAATCCATCACTGGTGTGGTCACATGAGAATGGCATTTGCGACCCTAACCCAGCGGGGTTAATTCACTGAGGAAGTCAGGAGGAAATTCACCTGTTGTGATCACGCAGTGTCTTGCTTAATGACTCTGGTGATCCACTTAACAACGGTGGTTAAAAAGAAGCTGGTAAAACTGCGCGATGCCTCACTTAACAACCACATCACCTTAACTATAAATTAAATTGGTCCCAACTGTACGGATAGTCCTCAATTTACAACCACAACTGAGCTAAAAATTTCTCTTAAGGGAGATATTTGTTAAATGAGCTTTGCTCTATTTCACGACCTTTCTTGCCTCAGTTTGTTAAAGTGAACCATTGCAGTTGATTAAGTTAGCAACACGTTTGTTAAGTGAATCTGGCTTCTCTCACGGACTTTGCTTGTCAGGCGGTCACAAAAGGAGATCACGTGACCCTGGGACACTACAACTGTCATAGGTATGAAACAGTTGCCAAGCATCCAAATTTTGATCACGTGATAACAGGGAGGCTGCAACGGTCGCAGGTGTGAAAAAGTCCTTTTTTCCAGTGTTATTGTAATTTCAAATAGTCACTAAATGAATAGTTATAAATTGAGAACTAGCTATATTGATAACTTCCACCTGTTGACACTCATATTTGACTATTATACATAGACAGGGGGGAGAGAGAGGGGGGAGAGGGAGTGGGAGAGAGAGAAACAGAGAAGAAATGATAGATAGATAGATAGATAGATAGATAGATAGATAGATAGATAGATAGATAGACAGACAGACAGACAGACAGACAGATAGATACAGAGAAAGATGATAGAGAGAGAGAGGCAGAGAGACAGAAAGAAACAGAATAGATACAGAGATGAGAAAGAGAGGGAGAGGGGGAGAAACGAGAGAGAGAAGAGATGATAGACAGATAGAGAGAGAGACAAACAGACAGACAGAGACAGACAGACAAGATAGATAGATAGATAGATAGATAGATAGATAGATAGATAGATAGATATAGAGATATAAAATGTTAAATGACTAATAGATGCTAGATATAGGTGAGAATAGATAGATAGATAGATAGATAGATAGATAGATAGATAGATAGATAGATAGACAGATAGACAGAAGACAGACAGACAGACACAGAGAAAGATGATAGAGAGAGAGAGGCAGAGAGACAGAAAGAAACAGAATAGATACAGAGATGAGAAAGAGAGGGAGAGGGGGAGAGAGAAAGCGAGAGAGATGATAGACAGACAGACAGACAGACAGACAGACACAGACAGACAGACAAGATAGATAGATAGATAGATAGAGAGAGAGAGAGAGAGAGAGAGTTGATAAAGAGATAGAGAGAAACAAACAGAAAGAAACAGAGAAGATAGATACAGAGAGAGATTCACTTAACAATTGTAGCAGGAAAAGTCATAAAATAGGGCAAATTTACATAACATATGTCTTACTTAGCAACTAGAAATTCTGGCCTCAATCGTGGTCGTAGGTCGAGGATTACCTGTACACACATACACACCCTCACAGATACAATACCAATTTCCTTTGGGCATAAAATACAGGTTAGGATTTCCTTGGCTATGCTGGCTGATCACATTTAGGTAGGCAGGTATGCAGTGATTTGACTGAAGTAAAAGGATGAAATGAAATTAGACTTGTTGGGATGTTATTATTGTTATTTATTTTTTTTGGCTCGCTCCTTTTTCTTCATTTGGTTTGGAAAAATGCCCCTGGCATTTCAGCCAAAGGCCGAATGTTCTAGATAAATGTGCAGATCGCAGCATAACTGGATTTTGCCCTCCCCCAAAATATTTTACCTGGAATGACCTGTAATTCTGGTAAACTGCAGTCTTGTTTTCATAACTGTCCCTGGGAGAGATCTTCAAAAAGTGAAGATTTATTAATTATGATTAATGAAATGTAGAAGGTACTCTAAACAACTCTGGGTAGTTTACACTTAAAAAGTTAGTGCAGAAATAAACTGGCTAAGGAGAAGAGCAAGAAAGTAGGTAAAATCATTTCTCTGTCTAAAGCCTCTGGAAAAAATGTTAATTAAATGCCTTCCTATCAGTAGAAGTGTGAGGTCCTTGGTGCTTTATTAGTTCAGTGGTTTTCTTGCAGACATTTCATGACCCAACTAGGTAATATCATCAATGCTGCAAGGGAGAGGAGGAGGAGGAGGAGGAAAGGAAAGGAAAGGAAAGGAAAGGAAAGGAAAGGAAAGGAAAGGAAAGGAAAGGAAAGAAGGAAGGAAGGAAGGAAGGAAGGAAGGAAGGAAGGAAGGAAGGAAGGAAGGAAGGGGAGGAGGAGGAGGAGGAGCATTTCATGACCCAACTAAGTAACTTTATCAATGCTGGAAGGGAGGGAGGTTTGCAGAGAGGAGGACTGTGGGGTCCTTGGTGCTCTCTGAGCTTGTTTGTTTTCCTGTAGACATTTCATGACCCAATTAGATAACATCATCAGTGCTAGAAGGGAGTGGCATCTGCTCTATGTTTATATACCAGTGAGTTGCCTCTCAGTGTTGGTGGGAATATTTCTTTCTTGGTGATTCTTAGGGTATTGTTTACTTCTTGCTTCTTGACCAATATTAATCTCTAGATTGTTCCTTTACCTCTAGCTGGGACACTGTCTGGAAAAAAAACCTACCACCAGGGATCTCACAGTTCTCCTCCTCCTTCCCTCTTCTCTTCTCCTTTCCTCCTCCCTCTTTCTCCTCCTCCTCCTCCTCTGTAGCACTGATGATATTACCTAGCTTGGTAATGAAATGTCTGCCTGAAATCCCTCAAGCATGGAACCCACAGTTCAGTCCTGAGCTACAAATATTTTCTTTTATCCATATGAGTAATATCTGTTGAAACCACAACTTCCAGAATTCCTAACTAGCACGGATGAAATCCAGTGGCGGGTTCCTCGCGGTTCGGCCCGGTTCTCCCAAGCCGGTAGCGGTGACGATATGATACCTCTGCTAAATCCTAAATAATTGTCACATGACCATCAAGCCACGCCCACAAAATAAGCCACACCCACAGAACCGGTAGTAAAAAAATTTAGAACCCACCCCTGATGAAATCTGAAAAGTCTGCAAGTTGTGCTGCTAATGAAGGAAAGGTTGAGGAAAATGATGAATTATGACCTGCCAAGAACCAGGGAAGACTATACTGGTCATACGTCCGCCACTCCCTGAACCTTGTTCATATTTTGTGAAAGATTTTCGATCCCCCTACCGATGGTTAGACGGATCTCCTCTTGCTGATTGGCTAAACCATCGTAATAATACAGATCAAACCGGCGTTCCGTCCTCCAGTCTCCCAGCAAATCCTTTCGCAAGCAGAAGAGGACGCTGAAGTGACTCTCGCTGCACACCACCCAAATGGGAAACCTGGGGGTCTTGAGATAACAGCCCACCTGAGCAAAACAAGAAGAAGGAAAAAGTGCCTTTATTTAAAATGTCTGCGGAGATTCTCAATCATTCAGGTCACGGTTGTCCCAAAGGTGCAGGAGAATGAAACCATCAGGACAAGATTCATCAGTCCAAATGCATTTAAAAGACACAGACCACTCTTTTGAAGACAGCAAAGCAGGGGTGAAATCCAGTAGGTTCTGGAGAACCGGTGGCGGAAATTTTGAGTAGTTCGGAGAATCAGCAAATGCAACCTCTGGCTGGCCCCAGAGTGGGGAGCGAATGGGGATTTTGCAATATCCTTGCCCCAGAAGTGGGGAGGGAATGGGGATTTTGCAGTATCCTTCCCCTGCCACACCCACCAAGCCACGCCCACAGAACCGGTAGTAAAAAGATTTGGATTTCACCACTGCAGCAAAGTCCACATTTTGGACAGAGAGGACTGCTGGTTTTTTGAAAGAGGGATCAAAGAGGCCATTGGTGTCAAAACTGAACAGCCCTCTCTCAACAGAGGTGGGGAGGGATACAACATTGTCTATCTCCAGTCTACAACACAAGTCCTTTCAGCAGCTCCAAGAAGGCTCCACACTCATTTGCACCACTCAGGTGACTCTGAGGACACAGATAAATCTCTCCAGGTGGCCTCAACGACTCTCTAAAACAGTGTTTCTCAACCTTGGTAGCTTGAAGATGGGTGGACTTCAACTCCCAGATTCTGGGAGTTGAAGTCCATCCATCTTCAAGCTTCCAAGGTTGAGAAACACTGCTCTAAAAGGATGCAAATGACCATCTTTGTCTGCAAGGAGTATAAATCTTTCTATTCCCCTCCATCCAGTCAGAGCTGAAGGAGCTTCTGGGATGGGAAGTGAAATGTCTTCAAAAGAAAAAACCAGAAAGTTCAGTTGCCTCTTGAGAAAAAAGCAACTTTGGGACCACCGTAGGTGGACTGAGGATCTCCACAGACAGATCTTTAAAGTCCCCCCAAAGTTGAGAAACACATCCTCAAGATAAACTATTTTCTCTATTTTAAAAGCCATTGTTTGACTCTCCCCAGTTATTCTCTTTGTTGGCTGGGTTGCACAAATTCTTGAACTGCGAAGAGGGATCCCAGTTTAGAGCGATGCTCTCCAAAGGGTAACAAAAGGGCCCGTTCAGCTGGGGAAGATAAAATCGGACGGATTTCCTTTCTAAGCGCCGGCATATGGTAGCACTTTGCAAAGCAAACATGGTTCCCTTATGCTCCAACCTCAGAGTCTCTTTTGATGTCCAATTAGAAACACACTGGGGTATTTTTTTGGAGTGAAGCCACCGACGCTGCCCAAAATTTTAAAGAAGTTTCCATCTCCGAGAGCAGGTTTCCCACGAAATATACGATGAAAGGTTGCAGGAATTGGGTAGATCTAGTTTCATGAAAAGAAAGACTAGCATGACATGATGGGAGCCTTCCAATGTTCAAGGGGCTGCCCCAAAGAAGAGGGAGTCAAGCTATTCTCCAAAGCACCTGAGGGTAGAAGGACAAGAAGCAACGGGTGGAAACTCATCAAGGAGAGAAGCAACCTAGAACTAAGGAGAAACTTCCTGACAGTGAGAACAATTAATCAGTGGAAGAACTTGCCTCCAGAAGTTGTGAATGCTCCAACACTGGAGGTTTTCACACATTGATGGCAACGTATATATTTCTGCCCAATTTCTTTTTACAGTTATAGGAGCATCTCCAAGCAGCCAAAGAGGTCGCCTTAATCCAAGCAATTGTTCAGTGCCTCTGAGCAATTATTAACAGAAACTAATTAGGGAGGGAAACAACTTAGAAGTAAAGAGAAATTTCCTGACAAGTGAGAACAATTAACCAGTGGAACAGGACTTGCCTCCGGAAGTTGTGGGTTCTCCAGAAGATCCTTGGAAAGGAGTGAGGTTGCACAGTGAGATCATGCCAAACACGGATTAAATAGTGCAGCCACCATTCCGAAATCCGTCAACCAGTAGTTTTGTCCAAGTAAGTTGGATAATTATGTTATATTATGGACCACTTGCAAGCATCTAAATCTTCCTCCAGGAAGTCTTTACAGGTGAGTCCTCAACTTATGTCCACAATTGAGCCAAACGTTTCCATTGCTAAGCAAGGCAGTTATTAAGCGAGTTGTATCCCATTTCACGACCCTTTTTGCCATGGTAGTTAAGCGAGTCATTAAATAAATCAGGTGGTTGTTAAGCGAATCTGGCTTTCCCCGTGACCTTGCTTGACTAGAAAACTTGCAAATGACATTCTCAGGATATCAGGATGCCTGAAACAATCATAAATACATGTTCTGTTGCCAAGCACCTGAAGTTGGATCGTGTAACTGTGGAGATATAGCAACAGTCGTAAGTGTGAGAACTGGTCATAAGTCACTTTTTCCAGTGCTGTTGTAATTTTGAACGGTCATTGAACAAATGGTTATATGTTCAGGTCCGTGTGTTCTGTTATTCAACTTAAAGAAGGCTCTGAATCTGGGAAATATGGAAGGAAAGAGAAGAAGAAGATGCGTAAAAGAAGGTAGATGGACTCAGTTATTGTGGTGATGGGGGCACCATTGGAAGACCTGAAGGCCGGGTTGGAGACAGATCATCTTGAGAAGGTCAGTCTGTCTGGTCACTAAAGGTCCACGATGATGGCTATTCACCATCACCACAGGATCATCCTGGAGAAGGTCAGTCTATCTAGTCATCAACTGTCAACACATCAACAATCATGGATCATCATCCATCAATCAATGCAAAGACCCATCTTCCTTGAGAAGTCCATAATGCTGGGAAAGATGGAAAGAAAGACAAGAAGAGGACAACCAGCAAAAGAGGACAACCAGACTCAGTTACAGTGGCAGTGAGTGCATCATTGGAAGTCTTGAAGGACCAAGACAGATTGTCATGTGGAAGATCGATCTACGTTGGACTCATCACCGACTGGATGGCACGTAATCATTCAACATAAAGTTCACTCTGAGGGAAGACCACAATGGTGGAAAAGGTGGGAGGAAGACAAGAAGAGGACAACCAGCAGCAAGCCAGATGGACTCCATTATGGAAGTGATGGAAGGTCCACTGGAAGTGCTGAAGGATCAGTTTGTGGTCAAATTCTCCTGGAGATGGTCACTAAAAGTCAACATTGACTTTAAGATACACAATCAATCAATCAATTGCTCAGCTCCCTTGTAAAGTCCATTAGGGAGGAAAATATGGAAGGAAAGAGATGAGGAAGACCAGCAGAAGGTGGATGGACTCAGTTACAGTGGAGATGAGACAACCATTGGAAGACCTGAAGGACCAGGTTGGAGACAGATCATCTTGAGAAGGTCAGTCTGTCTGGTCACTAAAGGTCCACGATGATAGCTATTCACCAATCAATCAATGCAAAGTCCCATCTTCTTTAAGAAGTCCACGTTACTGGGAAAATATTTCTTGAGGAGTTAATAATACTGGGAAAGATGGAAGGAAAGAGAAAAAGGGGATGACCAGTAGGAAGGTGGGTAGATTCAGTTACAGTGGTGATGGGGCAACCATTGGAAGACCTGAAGAACCAAGCCGAGAACAGTTTCTCCTGGAGAAGATGCATCTATGTGGTGGTTAACAGTTGACAATGACTTGATGGTGCACATTCTTACCAGTGTATTTTTAATAAACGTTCCCTCTTGATCACATCCATTGATTGATGGATGGATGGATTACATTTCCATGGATCACAGTGGTACTCAGCGAAGTGTGGAGAGAGCCAAAATTACCAATTAAATATGGAAGTAGGTTTTGGAAAGGCCACACCTCAAATTTGGGGCAACTGAAGATTACACGCACCCAGAAGCACACACACACACACACACACACACAAACACACACAGACACACAGTGTAGTATTCTTTGAAGGGGGAAAAATGCAAGGGAATTATTCTTGGGTGGATGTGATATAATGCAAGTAGTCCTTGACTTACGACCACAATTAAGCCCAAAAGGTATGTTGCTAAGTCAGGTATTTGTTAAGTGAATCACTGTAGTTGTTAAATTACTAACATGGTTGGTAAGCGAATCTGGCTTCCCTATTGACTTTGCTTATCAGAAGGTTGCAAAAGGGGATCACGTCACCCTGGGGGGCACTGCGACCGTCATAAATATGAGTCAGTTGCCAAGCGTCCGAATTCTGATCACATGACCATGGGGATGCTGCAACGAAAAGAGCCTGGTGGAGCAGCAGACTAATAGCCTGTTATTAACATTCAGCTGCCTGCAATTACTGCAGGTTCGAATCTCGCCAAGGCTCAAGGTTGACTCAGCCTTCCATCCTTTCTAAGGTAGGTGAAATGAGGACCCAGTTTGTGGGGGCAATAAGCTGACTTTGTATAAAATATACAAAAGTTTGAAGGCTATTGCTTAACGCATTGTAAGCCGCCCTGAGTCTCCGGAGAAGGGCGGCATATAAATTAAATTAAAAATAAATTTTTAAAAAAACGGTCATGTGAAAATTGGTTGTAGGTCACTTTTCCCTGGTGATGGTATAGCTTTGCTCGGCCATAAACGAAGAGCTGTTAAATTGAGGAGTAACCTATACGAAGGCAAACTTTTGGCCCAAGACCTCAGATGCAATGATCCAGAAGCCTGGACTTCGCCATCAAAAACAGTAATGCTGAGCTGGATTTTTGCTTTTGTGGCAGTGGTGGGTTTCAAATTTTTTTACTACCGGTTCCGTGGGTGTGGCTTGGTGGGCGTGGCTCGGTAGGCGTGGCATGGCTTGGTGGGCATGGCTTGGTGGGCTTGGCAGGGGAAGAATACTGTAAAATCCCCATTCCCTCCCCATCAGCTGGGACTTGGGAGGCAGAGAATAGATGGGGGCGGGGGCCAGTCATTTTTACTACCGGTTCTCCGAACTACTCAAAATTTCCGCTACCGGTTCTCCAGAACTGGTCAGAACCTGCTGAAACCTACCTCTGCTTTGTGAGTCATTTTATAAAAATAGCAGCAGTTGTGACAGTTGTAATGGAGCCAAGAGGGGAAAAAAACCAACAAAACTTGAAAAGCGCTTTCTTTAGTCAACAAAAGAATAGATCCCATTATCTGCTTTTGCCAGAGAAGTAAGTGCTGTTCGGTGAAACTAATCATTGTAAGAACAGAGGTGTTTGCCATAGCAGTATTGGTTTACACCTGTGTTTCTCAACATCAGCCACTTTAAGATGTTTGGACTTCAATTCTTAGTATTTCCCAGCTGGCTTCTTGAGTTTTTTGGGTGGGGGTGAAGGGGGGGGTGTTAGAGGAAACGGCCCTAAAACCGACATTAATTTTGATCCTCAAAGGGTTACAATTCTAGGAGAGAGGATCCAGAGAGCGAAGGGTGTGTCAGGTGTTAAGAAGAGGGAAAAATAGGAATACGGACGGAAATCAGATCATGGCAGGACAAAACGTACTAGAGTAAAGTTAAGTGTAAAGTATAAAGTAAAGTAAAAAGTAAATATTCAGCAAAGAGTAAAGTAAAAAATAACATAAAGAGTAAAGGAAAGGATAATGTAAAGAGTAAAAGGTAAAGTAAAATAAAGAGTAATATAAACAGGAAAGTAAAAAGGAAAGTACGAAGTAAAAGTAAAGAGTAAAGTAAAAAAAAGCAAAGTAAAGTAAGATTTAAAGCAAGAGCAAAAGCACTTAGACTTATATAACGCTTCATAGTGCTTTTACAGCCCTCTCTAAGCGGTTTACAGAGTCAGCCTATGGCCCCCAACAATCCGGGTCCTCATTTTACCGACCTTGGAAGGATGGAAGGCTGAGTCAGCCTTGAGCCTGGAGAGATTCGAACTGCCAAACTGCTGGTAGCCGGTGATCAGCAGAAGTAGCCTGCAGTACTGCACTCTAACCAGAGGTGGGGTTTCAGCAGGTTCTGACCAGTTCTGGAGAACCGGTAGCGGAAATTTTGAGTAGTTCGGAGAACCGGTAGTAAAAATGACTGGCCCCATCCCCATCTATTCTCTGCCTTCCAAGTCCCAGCTGATCGTGAGGAAATGGGGATTTTGCAGTAACTTTCCCCTGGAGTGGGGAGGGAATGGAGATTTTACAGTATCCTTCCCCTGCCACGCTCACCAAGCCACGCCCACCAAGCCACACCCACAGAATTTTTTTGAAACCCACTACTGACTAACCACTGCACCACCACGGCTCATAAAGAGTAAAATAAAGAGTAAAGTAAAAAGCAAAGTAAAAGTAAAGAATAAAGAATAAAGTAAAAATGCAAAGTAAAGTAAGAAGTAAAGAGTAAAAAGCAAAGTATAAAGTAAAACAAAGAGTAAAGCAAAGAGCAAAGATTAAAGGAAAAATGTAAAGTGCATATAAAGTAAAGGGGAAAAGTAAAGAGTAAAGTAAGGTAAAATAAAAAGTATTATTTTTTATTAAAAAGAGCATTACGGAGGCCGCCTAGTTTTGCACAAAATGAGAAGCACAGAAAGTGGAGAAGTAAAATGATTCACTTCTTGGACCTCAGGAGTTTTCACTTTCTAGAACCTGCAGTTCTATTTCTCTGGGGATTTAATCTCTTTTAGCTTCGGACAACAGGAATGTCTGCATTTTTGGGTGGATAATTGCAAGGGATTGGATTGCACCTTGGATTCCGGCCGTGCCAACATCAACACAAAACAGCTCAAAAAGGGTATTTCTGAGATTTTTTTTCATGCTTCTCCAGTAAATGAAGTTGTCCTCCCTCACTTCAAAACCCATCAAAATACAGGCAAACCCCCTTAATTTTTTATTTTATTTTATTTTGTTATCTCTTCTGTGTACAGTGGTACATTTCAAACTAAGCCCTATTAGGAATATTGGCATGTTTTCAGTTAAATAATCTTTTAATTGATTATAAAGTTCTCATTTAGTAAGAGGAAGAAACTGGAATGACTGGCAAAAACAATTCCTTGAAGACTCAAGTTTTCAAAATCCATGTTTCTCAACTTTGGCAACTTGAAGATGTGTGGATTTCAATTCCCAGAATTCTCAGCAAAGCCGGCTGGAGAATTCTGGGAATGGAAGTCCACACATCTTCAAGGTACCGAGGCCGAGAATTGAGTTGGGAACTATTCAGATTCCAATTTTGCAATTTATAGGTACCCTGTTTTCCCCAAACTAAGACATCCCCTGATAATAAGTCCAATCGGGCTTTTGAGCGCATGGCAGTAAGGCCAAGCGCTTATTTCAGGGTTCAAAAAAATATAAGACAGGGTCTCATTTTCAGGGAAACACGGTAAGTCTTCGACTTACAACAATTCATTAAGTGATTGTTCGAAGCTACAACAAGCACTAAAAAAAGTGACATGACCATTTTTTCCACACTTACGACCGCTGCACCATCTCCATGGTCACGTGATCAAAATTCAAATGCTAACCACCTGGCTCATATTTATGACGGTTGCGGCGTCCTGGGATCACGTGATCTTCTTTTGCAACCTTCTGACAAGCAAAGTCAACAGGGAAGCCAGATTCACTTAACAACCATGTTACCAACTGAACAACTGCAGTGATTTTCTTAGCAACCTGTGTCAGGAAAGGTCGTAAAATGAGGCAAAACTCATTAACAAGTGTCTGGATTAGCAACAGAAATTTTGGGCCCAGTTATGGTTGTTAAATCGAGGATTAGCTGTATTAGGAAAAAAGGATTAGTTGGTTGAAATGGAATTAAGGAGAAAACTGGCGTAGAGAACAAGGCAAAGGACACAGAGAGGTATAGGCCGAAAGAGCAAATGTTTGTGTTTGACTTCAGCGACAACCAAAATCTTGTTAGCTCAACTCAAACAAAGTCCTCCTCATGAGTTACTTGATGGATTGATTAGCTTGGGATAACAGAATAAGAGAGTTGGAAGGGTCCTGGGAGGTCTTCTAGTCCAACCCCTTGCTCAGTCAGGAAACCCTATACCAGAGATGGCTAACCTTTTCTGGATCGAATGCCCAAAACATGCGCACATGTGCACCCGTGCGCCCGAATGTACATGCATGCACCCAATTCCCCCGAATGCAATTTGCGCACGGCTCCCGTCAATGCGCCCCGCTCCCATGCATGGGCACGCACGCCTCCTCCCCCATGTGCGTATGTCCCCACACACATGCCCCGCCCTCCACCCCCCGCAGCAGAGACCCGAAGACCAGCCGGCCACCTGGAGGCGCACGCACAAGGGCGCCGGAGCTGAACTGAGGCGATGGCACACGTGCCCACAGAGAGGGTGCTGTAGGTTCACCATCATGATCCTATACCATTTCAGACAAATGGTTGTCCAATCTCATCTGAAAAACTTTCAGTGTTGGAGTACACACAACTTCTGGAAGCAACTTTTCCACTGGTTAGTTGTTCTCATTGTTAGGAAATTTCTCCTTAGTTCTAGGTTGCTTCTCTCCTTGATTAGTTTCCATCCGTTGCTGCTTCTCCTGACTTCAGGAGCTTTGGAGAATAGCTTGACTCCTTCTTCTTTGTGGAAGCCCCTCAAATATTGGAAGACTGCTATCATGTCTCCCCTAGTCCTTCTCTTCATTAAACTAGACATACCCAGTTCCTGCAACCGATCTTCATGTTTTAGCCTCCAGTCCCCTAATCTTCTTTGTTGCTCTTCTCTGCACTCTTCCTAGAGTCTCCACATCTTTTTTACATCGTGGCGACCAAAACTGAATGCCATATTCCAAGTGTGGCCTTCCCAAGGCCTTATAAAGTGGTATTAACACTTCACGTGATCTTGATTCTATCTCTCTGTTTATGCAGCCCAGGATTGTGTTGGCTTTTTTGGCAGCTGCTGCACACGGCTGGCTCTTCATAGGTTCTTCATATGTTTTAACCTCCAGTCCCCTAATCTTCTTTCTTGCTCTTCTCTGCACTCTTTCTAGACTCTTTTTTACATCGTGGCGACCAAAACTGGTTGCAGTATTCCAAGTTTGGTCTTAACAGAGGCCTTAAAAAGCTGTACCAACACTTCACAATGTTTCAGACAAAGGGCGGCGTTAACACCAACTTTTCCACAAGTCTTCCCCATACCTGGCAGACGTCGTAATGCTCAAAGAGCGACAGCAAGCCCAGGTCGCTACGGCCACTGATGCCTTTCAGGATAGTGATGTTGCCGTTTCCTGAGTCCAGCTCCATCACATCGTTGAAGACATTGGATACGGCCTTGCCGGTCAGTAGCAAGTTGACCAGTTCCTAGTTTCAGGAGAAGAAAACAAGTGGATGGATTAGGCACTGAACGGACTGAGATAGGCTCATTTAACTCCAAATCAGCCTTTCCCTGAAATGAATTTAGGTAAAAGGAGAAACGTTCTTCCAGTTTTTGGTATAGCTTAATTACAGGTAGTCCTCCACTTACAGCAGTTCGTTTAATGACCGTTCAAAGTTACAGCGGCAGTGAAAAATGTGACTTATTACTGTTTTTCCACACTTACAACCATTGCAGCATCCCCATGGGAAGGGATCAAAATTCAGACGCTTGGAAACTGACTCAAGTTTATGACGGTTGCCATATCCCGGGGTCATGTGAGCCCCTTTTTTTGTGACCTTCTGACAAGCCAAGTAAATGGGAAAGCCTGATTCACTTAACAACCATGTTACATTCAGCGATTCATTTAACCACTGTGGCAAGGAAGGCCATAAAATTGGGCAAAACTCACTTAACATATGTCTCGTTTACCAACGGAAATGTTGGGCTCAATTGTGGCTGTAAGTCGAGGACTATCTGTCATAGATGACAATACGGGTAGTAGTCCTTGACGTATGATCACATTTAAGTCCCAAATTTCTGTTTGCTAAGTGAGACAGTTGTTAAGTGAATTTTGCCCCGTGGTGGATGAACAGGGAATGTTTGGTGAATATGTCTGAAGTTGAGTATTTCTAACGTTCACTTGAGAAAAGAAATATTAAAAGTAGCGACATCCAACTTTAATCACAGCAGATACAAAAAACCACCTTAGTGATCCTATATTTCCTAAAAGTTACAAGCACCTTCTTCCCATAATCCACCCGACGTGCAAATCCACAAATTTCTTCTCTTCCTCTTTCTCATTTTTTACTTTTCTCTTCTTTTCTTTTTCTTCTCCCCTTTCCCTCCTCTCTCCCTCCCTTTTCCTTTTTAATTAACTTTATGTTGTCTTTTTGACAACGTTTTTAATTCATTGGAATTATTCTTTTGAAAGAAAAAAAAGATCTGTCTATTTCTGTTTCTGTTCACATGACAAATAAATCAAAATACATCTAAAGGCATGATTGATGTAATTGTTGATGAGTGAAAGACAGAAGAGTGATGAGAAGTTATGAATATGGGACAGACTGATTGATTGATTGATTGATTGATTGATTGATTGCAAGGGGTGAATGCACCAAGACCAGATCCTGGATGATAAAATGGAAGAAAAGCATAGAAGAAATTAAAATGAAAGTGGAATTACAGGTAGTCCTTGACTTATGATCACAACCGACCCCAAAATTTCTGTTACTAAGTGAAACATTTATTAAGTGAATTTTGCCCCATTTAACGACTTTTCTTGCCACAGTTGCTAAGTGAATCCTTGCAGTGGTTAAATTAGTGACACAGTTGTTATGTCTTCTCCATCGACTTTCCTTATCAGAAGGTCACAAAAGGGGATCACGTGACTCCCCCGGGACATGGCAACTGTCATAAATATAAGCCAGTTGGCGAGGATCCAAATTTTGATCACATGATCATGGGGATGCTGCCATGGGATGTAAGTGTGAAAAACGGTCATAAGTCACTATTTTTCAGTGCCGTTGTTATTATTATTATTATTATTTATTGAATTTCTATACCGCCCTACTCCCGAGGGACTCAGGGCGGTGCACAGCCATGAAATAAAACACATAAATATACAAAATTTAAAATCGAATAAAATGAATTAAATAAATTTGGCTGAATTAATATCCAATTTAAAATACCCATATTTTAAAATCCATTAAAAATTTAGAATTTACACTTAAAAGGGGGAAGATTTAGGCGAGGCCAGCTTGATGAAACAAAAGCGTCTTCAACTCGCGGCGGAAGGTGCGCAGATCCGGAATCCTCCGTATCTCTGGGGGGAGCTCATTCCAGATCGTCGGTGCCCCCACAGAGAAGGCTCTCCCCCTAGGGGCCGACAGCCGACATTGTTTGGCCGACGGCACCTGGAGGAGCCCCTCTCTGTGGGAGCGTACTGGTCGGTGGGAGGCTGTTGATGGTAGTAGGCGGTCCCGTAAGTAACCAGGTCCCAAGCCATGGAGCGCTTTAAAGGTGGTAACCAGAACCTTGAAGCGCACCCGGAAGACCACCGGGAGCCAGTGCAGCTCGCGCAGGAGAGGTGTTACATGGAAGCTCCATGTTGCTCCCATAACCACCCGCGCGGCCGCACTCTGCGCCAGTTGGAGCCTCCGGGTGCACCTCAAGGGGAGCCCCATGTAGAGAGCATTACAATAGTCCAGACGAGAGGTGACGAGGGCATGAGTGACTGTGCGTAACGAGTCCCGATCTAGAAAGGGACGCAACTGGCGAATCAGGCGAACCTGATGAAAAATCCTCCCGGTCACGGCCGTCAAGTGCTCTTCTAAAGACAGCCGTGAGTCCAGGAGGACGCCCAAGTTACGAGCCCTTTCTGTGGGGGCCAATGATTCGCCCCCAATAGCCAGTGATGGCGCCAGCTGACTATATCGGGACGTCGGAAACCACAGCCACTCGGTCTTGGATGGGTTGAGCCTGAGCCCGTTTCTCCCCATCCAGATCCGCACGGCCTCCAGGCACTGGGACATCACTTCAAGGGCATCGTTGGGGTGGTCTGGGGTGGAGATGTACAGCTGGGTGTCATCAGCGTACAGATGGTACTTCACCCCGAAACCACGGATGATCTCGCCCAGCGGCTTTACATAAATGTTGAACAGAAGGGGCGAGAGAACCGATCCCTGCGGCACCCCACATATAAGGGGCCTCGGGGTCGATCTCTGCCCCCCTGTCAACACAGACTGCGACCGGTCAGAGAGAAAGGAGGAGAACCACCGTAAAACGGTGCCTCCCACCCCCAACCCTGTTACTCTGAACAGTCACTCAATGAGCTGTTGTAAGTTACAAAACAGCAGTCTGTTTTGTGACTTACAACAGTTCATTGAGGAGGGGAAAAATACAAGCCCTCGGTCAGGGGTCAGCAACCTGCGGCTCTGGAGCCGCATGTGGCTCTTTCATCCCTCTGCTGCAGCTCCCTGTTGCCAGTCAGCTCCAGAATTGATAGGCTTTCGGTTAGGACAGGTAGAGGAAAAAGGACGCCGTGCGAGGAGGAGACTCTATCGTGAGGGAACCGGACTTCCAGTCAGCTCCACAATTGATAGGGCTTTCGGTTAGGACAGGTAGAGGAAAAAGGACGCTGTGTGAGGAGGAGACTCTATCGTGAGGGGACCGGACTTCCAGTCAGCTCCAGAATTGATAGGGCTTTCGGTTAGGACAGGTAGAGGAAAAAGGACGCCGTGTGAGGAGGAGACTCTATCGTGAGGGAACCGGACTTCCAGTCAGCTCCAGAATTGATAGGGCTTTCGGTTAGGACAGGTAGAGGAAAAAGGACGCTGTGTGAGGAGGAGACTCTATCGTGAGGGAACCGGACTTCCAGTCAGCTCCAGAATTGATAGGCTTTCGGTTAGGACAGGTAGAGGAAAAAGGACGCCGTGTGAGGAGGAGACTCTATCGTGAGGGAACCGGACTTCCAGTCAGCTCCAGAATTGATAGGGCTTTCGGTTAGGACAGGTAGAGGAAAAAGGACGCCGTGCGAGGAGGAGACTCTATCGTGAGGGAACCGGACTTCCAGTCAGCTCCACAATTGATAGGGCTTTCGGTTAGGACAGGTAGAGGAAAAAGGACGCTGTGTGAGGAGGAGACTCTATCGTGAGGGGACCGGACTTCCAGTCAGCTCCACAATTGATAGGGCTTTCGGTTAGGACAGGTAGAGGAAAAAGGACGCTGTGCGAGGAGGAGACTCTATCGTGAGGGAACCGGACTTCCAGTCAGCTCCACAATTGATAGGGCTTTCGTTAGGACAGGTAGAGGAAAAAGGACGCCGTGTGAGGAGGAGACTCTATCGTGAGAGAACCGGACTTCCAGTCAGCTCCAGAATTGAACGGGGAGGTTCTGGTTAGGACCTTTCTGGCTCTTTGAGCTTTTAAGGTTGCCGACTCCTGTTTTAGGTGAACAAAGAAGACAGATTCATCAGCCATCCAAAGGAACGGAAAACAGACATAAAGGAGAACCAGTTTGTTCCAGTGATTGAGGCACCAGGCTACAGACTGGGAGAGACTAGGAGAGCTTTTGCCTTGCCTTAGCCAAGAAAGCTGGCTGGGTGACTTTGGGCCTATCACTCTCCCTTAGTCTCTAATCCACCTTAAAGGTTGGTTGTTGTGAGGAAAATAAGAGGAGGGAAGTGTGTTGGATACAGAGCCTTGGTAGTATAGTGGTCTAAAGCACCCTGTTATTAAGAACAGCTGTCTGCAATTATTGCAAGTTCGAATCTCCCCAGGCTCAAGGTTGACTCAGCCTTCCATCCTTTCTAAGGTAGGTAAATTGAGGACCCAGTTTGTGGGGGCAATAAGCTGACTTTGTATAAATATACAAAAGGATGAAGGCTATTGCTTAGCGCATTGTAAGCCGCCCTGAGTCTCCGGAGAAGGGCGGCATATAAATCAAATTAAAAAAAAAAACAAAACAATGTTTGCCACCTTCAATTATTTCTAAAATGTTAAAGTGGAATGTAAAATGTTTAATGTGGAAAATAAAATAAAATAAAAAATAATAAAATAAAAGATAATAAAATAAAATATAATATAAAATAATAAAATATAATATAATGAAATATAAAATAAAATAATAAAATGAAAAAATATAAAATAATAAAATTAAATTAAAATTAAAAAAATTAAATTAAAATATAAAATAATATTAAAAATTAAAAATTAAAAATTAAATTAATTAAATTAAATTAAATTAAATTAAATTAAATTAAATTAAAACCAGGTCATACCTTAACTTCCTAAAAATGTGTCACAAACCAACCATATTTGAATCTTTCTGTAAAAGTAAGAAGGTGGCAGATTGAATGTGCAGCGACGTACCACAGAAGGGGCCACCACCGAGAAGTCTGCATTATGGGGCCCCTATGGGTTCAATCGCCTCTAGGAGAGGAGCTCAGCAAGTTGATGACCCTTCCAGAGTGACACTGTTTTTCGGTTTTGAGTGTGGCACGTGTTAGCCAGGGATCACCGAAGTGGCTGGCTGCCTCTGAAAAGAATTTTTTCAGGCGGTGTTATCTTACCCACGGGACGCCTGAATGCCTGTCAGAAGTCGAGGGAGGTTCTTTTCCTGTCCCTATGCGGTTTATTCGCTCACGGAAATCGAGCCGCCGAGCCGCCGACCTCAGTGGAGCACAGGCTCTGCATTTTACCACGTAAGCCACTGCAGCCCCAGATCAGTGACACTGATCAGGTAATTTATCCTCGTGTGGGACCTGGTATTGCAGCTTTCCTTGACTTGACCCCTTGACAACTAACAACTCCAGATGGACTGGTTCTTTGGTTGCACCGCCAACTCATGGTCCCTGCTCGGCTGTTTACCTGCGTGCAGTATCCGTGTGCACCAATCAGTGTGTTTGTGGTGACATCCACATCTCCACGGATTCTGTTGGGGAGAAAAACAAGATCCTCATCAAAATTAAATGTACGAAACTGGTGTGTCTTTCTCCTTTTTCTGCTTGAAATCTGGTTATCTCCCTCGGAAGGTCAACGTTTCTGTTGATAATCGAGACAGCGGTTAAGTTAAGTTTTGTCCAGTGGTGGAATTCCAATTTTTTAATACCGGTTCTGTGGGCGTGGCTTTGGTGGGCGTGGCAAGGGAAGGATACTGCAAAATCTCCATTCCCACCCCACTCCAGGGGGAAGGATATTGCAAAATCTCCATTCCCACCCCACTCCAGAGGAAGGATACAGCAAAATCCCCATTCCCTCCCCACTCCTGGGCGAAGGATACTGCAAAATCTCCATTCCCACCCCACTCGGGGGCCAGCCAGAGGTGGTAATTGCCGGTTCTCCGAACTGCTCAAAATTTCCACTACTGGTTCTCCAGAACCTGTCAGAACCTGCTGAATAGCAACCCTGGTTTTGCCCCATTTCACGACCAAGCAACCGGATTTTGATAACGTGACCACGGGGAATGCTGCAACAGTCGTAAGTGTGAAAAACAGCCCCAAGTCCCTTTTTTCGGTGCCGCTGTAACTTCGAATGGTCAGTAAACGAATGGTCATAAGTCGAGGACTACCTGTAATGAAAGGCGTGGGTGACCTTGAGGGACATGGGAAGGAGATGCTGCAGAGAAAAAACAGTCAGATAAGGAGCCTGCAGTCATTAAACTGTGAGAGGAAAAAACTTGGAAGGTCTCATCCCGAGCAGTTAAAATGGAAGAGGGAAGTTTGTATTATCAGACCTCCAGGATTTTGTTAATGTAGCCTTGCAATGAAATAGATTATTATAGATTATTATAGATTATAAATTAGTTCACCTAGCTGTGTTTCCTATCTATTTTACCTGACTGGGCTGATATTTAATCCCAGGGATTTGGGGTTTACATTGTGAGAGGGCAGATTCCTCTTAACAGCATCCTGTTAGTTCTGCCATCATATCAAACAATCAATTCCTGCTTAAATTGCAAGGAAGTAATTTTTTTCCCCCGCTTGGATGTCAGGAAGAATGTTCTAATGGTTAAGTACAGTAGTGGTCAAAATTGTGGAAACCTTTTGGGAAAAGTGTATTTTCTAAAACTAGCTAATAACACCACTTTTTTTTTTGAAGTAAAAAAACCATAAAATTATATATCAATGGAAAGATAATTTAATCAAGAATGCAGTGCAATAACTTTTATGAAGGATTTGCTATTAGAATAGCAGTTACTGTATAAAGAAGAAAAACACATAGAAAAAATGAGATATACAAAAATGATCATCATAGAAAAAAACGAGATACAAAAAAAATGATCACCATGTCAGTTAATATTTAGTTGGGTAACCTTCCCATGGAGTGAAGCAAGTCTTTTAGTTCTGCAGCTGTTATCATGTGAAACCAAGATTGAATGATGGCTTCTATAAACTGGGTTTTATTGCTGGGTCGCTTCTGACTAACAAGTTTCTTTAGTTGGCTCCATAGATTTCCAATTGGGTGAAGGTCTGGGCTATTCCCAGGCCATTCCAGCAGTGGAATAGGATTATCTTAAAACTTCAAAAAAAAGTGGTGTTATTAGCCATCAAACCTCAAAAATACACTTTTCCCAAAAGGTTTCCACAATTTTGGCCACTATTGTATCTATTGTAGTTCTCAGGTCATGATTTCCCGAAAGGTACATACTGCAAGCCCCTTTGTTATTTTTTTTAAAAAAGAAATTAAATAAATATTTAAACATTTTCACTCAAAAAGAAAAATGAATCCAAACTACAGGATACATTTTCAAAAGTCAACTGGACTTCCTTGGGGTTTCTTTCTTCCCTGAAGATGTTTCTCTTCTCATCCGAGAAGCTTCTTCAGTTCTGACTGAATGGTGGAAGTGGAAGCCTCAACAACTCTCAGAGAGAGCACTAATGACCAGATGACTGCAAGGAATATAAATCCTCCCATCCACCACCACTCGGTCATAACTGAAGAAGCTTCTTGGATGAAAAATTGGGGAAGCCAAAGATAAATTTAATCTCTTTTTAATGTATTTTAATATTTGTATTGTGTGTTTTTAATTTTGGCTGTTCACCGCCCCGAGTCCTTCGGGAGAGGGGGCGGTATAAAAATTTAAAAAATAAATAAATAAATAATTTTTTTTTTTTTTTTAAAGGGAAATGTTTTCAAGGAATAAAACCAAGAATGTGCAGCTGATTTTTGAAAAGCAACTTTGAGAGCTGATGGTAAGAGATGATCCTAACGGAATAGACTGTCTAATGTACTTTTGTTCAAATTTGGCAACTTTAAAATGGATGCATTCCAACTTCCCCAGCCAACATATGTTGGCTGGGGAATTCTGGGAGTTGAAGTCCACCCGTCTTAAAGTTGCCAAGATCAGGAAACATTGCATGAAGATATTCCCAACCAGCGCTGAGTGCGCATTCACACATGTCCTATATCAAATCCCACCAAATTTCTGAATAATTCTCACAATTCAGTGAAATCTGATCCAATTATTTTGACTCGGCTTGTAACAGCTCATGTTCAGAAAATGAAATAGAGGTAGTCCTCAACTTATGACCACCACTGAGCCCAAAATTTCTGTTGATAAGTGAGACATTTGTTAAGTGAGTTTTGCCCCATTTTACAACCTATCTTGCCACAGTTGCTAAGTGAATCACTGCAATTGTTAAGCTAGTAACACGGATGTTAAGTTTCCCATTGACTCAGCTCATCAGAAGATCAGAAAAGAACATCACCTGCGACACTGCAACTGTCATTAATATGAGTCAGTGGCTAAGCATCTGAATTTTGATTACGTGACCAGAGGGGGATGCAACAATGGTTGAAAATGTAAAAAAATGGTATGTCATTTTTTTTTCAATTTCCGTTGTAACTTTGAACAATCACTAAACAAACTGTTTCAAGAACTATGTGTAATAACTTTACAGAAAGCTTCCAGTACATTTTGATCCTCTGCATCCTGAAAGCCCTTTTGTTATTTTTTTTTTTAAAAAAGAAATTAAATCTTTAAACCTTTATACTCAAAGATGAATCCAAACCACAGAATACATTTCCAATGGCCATATCAGGATTCCCCTAAAATTGGAGGTTTAACTAGGATTTGTACTAAAAGAGAGGAGGGGAAAAAAATCACATCTTACAGTCAAATACTATTTTTTTTTTTTGCTTGCTTTAAAAAAAACAAAACACCTCTGATTCTAAAAATAAAAGCAAGGAATAATTGTAATTGTTCCCTGGAATGCCAAACCGAAGCTCGGCATTATTGAGGAAGTATTTGGACTAAAAAAAGCTTTTTAACGGCGGCGGTGGAAAGCGAGTTGATCTCGCTAAAAAGGGTTTATATTAACAAACCACCATCATCAAAGAACAATTCTAAGAGCTGATTTATATTAGGGACTGTTTCAAAGAATGTCAAGTCCCAAACATTACCGGAAGAAGAAGAAAATGGAAAGTTGGTGAGATTATTGAGTATCGGACGGCCACTGGCTATTTTTTCACTGAATGACCGACACTGTGGAATTCCCATGGCTTTGCTTGAAGCCAACTCACGGATGAAATATGCGTCAGCCAGGAGCTGAGGGACATCAAGTGTGGACAATAGAAGGAAGTTCTAATTCCATCCATGGTTGCAAACGTTCTGGGAACGCCAAATTGAGGCTTAAGACACTGGAGGAGAAGCCACATCTGTGTTTCCCATCATTCTTCCTAGAGAGGCAATAACCTGCACACTGAATGGCATTTCTAGAAGTTTTGGGAGCCTCTTTCCAAAGGAGGCCAACCAAGATCTCAATGCATTTGAATGAGGAGGAGCTCAAGGGTTTTCGACCAGCAGGGCCAATGGGAATTGTTGTGAAAAGACATAGAGAAAATGGAGGAACACGCAAGCTACAGAAACTTGCAGAAGCTCGGTGTGACTATCTAATCAATCAATCGATTGATCAGAATAGAGCTGGGAAGGGACATTGGAGTTCTCCTAGTCCAACCCTTATACCATTTCAGATAAGGGGCTGCTGTCCAGTCTCTACTTAAAAACCTCCATGGATGGAGCACCCACAACTTCTGGTGGCAAGGAGTTCCACTGGTTAATTTGTCCTCACTGTTAAGAAGTTTCTCCTTAATTCCAGGTTACTTCTCTCCTTGATGAGTTTCCATCCATTGTTTCTTGTCTTGCCTTGTGAAAAAAGTAAGGTTCCACATTTAGGGAAGAAAAACAAAATGCACAGGTACCGTATAGGTGCTACCTTGCTCAATAGTAGTAACTGTGAGAGGGATCTTGGAGTCCTAGTGGACAACCATTTGGATATGAGCCAGCCGTGTGCAGCAGCTGCCAAAAAAGCCAACACAGTTCTGGGCTGCATAAACAGAGAGATAGAATCAAGATCATGTGTTAATACCACTTTATAAGGCCTTGGGAAGGCCACACTTGGAATATTGCATTCAGTTTTGGTCGCCACGATGTGAAAAAGATGTTGAGACTCTAGAAAGAGTGCAGTAAAGAGCAACAAAGATGATTAGGGGACCGGAGGCTAAAACATAGGAAGAACGGTTGCAGGAACTGGGTATGTCTGGGTATGAAAAGAAGGACTAGGGGAGACATAATAGCAGTGTCCCAATATCTCAGGGGTTGCCACAAAGAAGAGGGAGTCAAGCTATTCTCCAAAGCACCTGAGGGCAGGACAAGAAGCAATGGGTGGAAACTAATCAAGGAGAGAAGCACCTTAGAACTAAGGAGAAATTTCCTGAAAGTTAGAACAATTAATCAGTGGAACAACTTGCCTGCAGAAGTCGTGAATGCTCCAACACTGGAAAATTTTAAGAAGATGTTGGATAACCATTTGTCTGAAGTGGTGTAGGGTTTCCTGCCTGGGCAGGGGGTTGGACTAGAAGACCTCCAAGGTCCCTTCCAACTCTGTTATTCTATTTCTATTTCTATTTGGGGGGAGTGGAGAGAATGAGCAA